AGCAGGAACTTCAGCTACTACCGGTGTAACGTACCCACCTGGAAGGTAAGGAGATTCCCGTTTTGGCCGATGAAAAGAAACGTATTCCTGTTAGAGGAGGCAGCAAAGCAAACAGAAGGGGATCTGAGATGGAAGAAAAAAGGAAATGAAAACAATAGGAGAGGGAAGGAAATGAAGAGAAGACACCCTTGCAGCTTTGAAAGTCCCATCTTTTGGTGGCCAAACCGGAAAATTCTGACTTAAAAAAATTAAACACACATTAACAAAGTGCTGTCAAGTCACAATTGACTTCCGGTGGCCCCACAATGGGCTTTCATGGCAAGAGACAGTCAGCGGTGGTTTCCCACTGCCTGCCTCTGCGTAGCAACCCTGGTGGCCTCCCATCTAAGCACTAACCAGGAACCACCCTGCTTAGCTTCCCAGATCTGACCAGCCTGGGCTATCCAAGTCAGGGTTATGGGCCATACAGATTATTTACTCCTAGAACTCTGCTGGGCAGGGGTGAAGGGGCCTTAGGAACAAAACAAGGCATCCATAGAACCGGACACTGGAGGACAGCACATCCTGGGCAAACGGGTGGAGAACAGGAGACCAACTTTAGTAAATAGACAACAGGCCTTCTCAGTGGTGGCTCCGCGCTGGTGGAACGAGCTCCCAGAAGACACTAGGGCCTTCTGGGACCTCTTACAGTTCCGCAGGGCCTGCGAGACGGAGCTCTTCCACCAGGCATTCGACGAAGGAGCCGCACCTAATAAACTGAAGCCCCTGGGCCCCAATATCATCACCGACAGCCGGTGCCCTGCCGACATGAACTGGACTGAGACGTCAGTCCTAACACCAAATGCTGACGGCACCCCCTATTGTAATCGATTGCTACTAATGCCTCGCCACTGTTCCACTGTTATACAAATTGGCTATTGGCACTTTATGATGGGTTTTATCGTCATATTTATATTTGTTCTGTTTCATCTGTTTTTTAAAAAAAATATGTAAGCCGCCCTGAGCCTGCTTCGGCGGGGAGGGTGTGGTAGAAATAAAATGAATGAATAAATAAGCCAGCCAGCCGAGGGGTCGGAAGGCCACCGGCCAACACACGCGGTTTCCTCAGCATCTCTCCCCCCCCCCACAGAACGCCATCCGACACAACCTCAGCTTGCACAAATGCTTTGTGCGCGTGGAGAACGTGAAGGGAGCCGTGTGGACCGTGGACGAGGCGGAGTACCAGAAGAAACGGAACCCGCAGCGCCCCACTTACCCGCACCTGCTTCTGGGCAGCGAGGAAGCCGGAAGGTCCCCGGTGCCCTGGGAGGGAAGAGGCCGGCCGGGAGCGGAAAGGAACAGCCGCTGGCATCTGGAGCTCCCCCTGTTCCCGCAGGACTCTTGAACGGCAGAGGGCCTGATCCCGCCCTGGCCCAGGAGGGGCTCTGAGCCTCCCCCACGTACCCCCACTGACTCCCCTACCCGGCATGCACAGACTTCCCCAACCAGTATTCCCTCTAAGCTGAGTTTGTGTGAGCTAGCTCACCGTTTTTTTAGCCTCCGGCTCACACATTTTATCTTCGCTCAGGAAGGAGGGCTCCAGGGCAAACTAATTGATGCAGTAGCCAAGCCGCCTGCTCACAGCTTTAATGCCAGTAGCTCACAAAGTGGAGTTTTTTGCTCACAAGACTCCACAGCTTAGAGGGAGCACGGACCCCAACCGGGAAGGCGCTCTGTAAAGGAGACCAGGTTTGGACACAGGAAAAGCGGCGTTTCAAAGAGTAGCTGCCCTGTCGGTCTAGATTCAAATCCAGTAACGCCTTAGAGACCAGCAAGATATTCAGGGTACAAACCTTCGACAGGGGTTGAGGGAGGGGGCTTTGGGTCTCGGAACCTCACGCTCCAGAACGCTCGTTGGGTGTCTCAGGTGCCAAAAGGAAGCACAGTTATCCTTCCGTTGTGCCGTTTCCTGTTTACGTCACTCTGTGCCTTTTCGATAGCGACCTCGCGATGCAAGAAAGTGAGCAGAACGAATCATTCGTACAGTTAGACCCATGTCCGGTAGCACCTTCGGGACCAAGATTTCGGGGGTATGAGTTTTCGAGAGTCCAAGCTCTCTTCGTCAGATACAAAGGAGGCTGAAGATCCATCGGCCTTCATATCCAGGCCAGAAGGGTGTTACGAAGAATATATACGGAGGTAAAGGCTGAGGGGATCGTCATTCTCGCTTGTATCTGACAAAGGCAACTTTGCCTCTCAAACGCTCTTGCCCAGGAAATCTCGTTGCCCTCTAAGGCGTGTGCCAAGTGAGATTAAACCGTGACAGCCTTCCTACTCAGCAGTCCTTGCAGATGCATTTCGTATTTTTATATATTTTTAAACAAACTGTGCAGTATTTGTAACATATGAAAAATATAAATAATTTCATAGAAAAGCGCAATCTTTGTTTCCAAAGCCTTATGAAAATCCATCAGTAGGAACGAAGCCATTATATTGACAGTTCATCAGACGGGAAGGGTCTTCTTAAGGAGAAGAAGATGCACTTCACACTTCCAAGGTGAGGCGTTGGAAACAAAGATTGTACTCCTCTGTGAAATTATTTATATTTTTCATATGTTATCTGTAGTGCCCTGTTCACTACATATAACATACAACCAGTTTGGTGTTGTGGTTAAGTGCGCGGAATCTAATCTTGGAGAACCGGATTTGATTCCCCACTCCTCCACTTGCAGCTGCTGGATGACCTTGGGCGAGCCATAGTTCTGTCAGAGCTGTCCTTGAAAGAGCAGTTATCACAGAGCTCTCTCAGCCCCACCTCCCTCACAGGGGGGTCTGTTGTGGGGAAGGGAAGGGAAAGGCGTTTGTAAGCCACTCTGAGACATACAAATATAAAATGTATTTGCAAGTACTGCTGAGTAGTCAGACTATCACCATTTAATCTCTTTTGGCACAGTTAGTTCCGTGATTCTCTCTCTTTGTTGGTTTTGCCCTCTAAGGCGTGACTGGACTCGAATGAAGGAGAAAACGAACACATCTGGGAACAACCAATGCACCCACGTGGATCAGCACACATATTCTGCAAAAGGGGGCAACTTTATTGTTTTGGGGGGGAGGACGCAAAAGAGGGTGTTGGTTTCAACCAATAAGGGACGGAACCAATCCCTGGGTTTCTTCAACGTACAATCTATGCCGGAAGGGTGACCTTGCAGGTCCGTCCCCCCCCTGGCAAAACGTGCTGGGTTTCTAGGCCACTCCGTGAGGCCGACAGAGGCCGGAAAGGGAAGCCTTGCTTGCTCTCCACGCCCCTGCGGGTTAAGAGGCACCGCGGAGTCCGAATGGGGGAAGCACCCAGGCGAGTGGGCGGGGCACGGGACGGAGCTCTTCAGGTTTCCCGGGTCCGGCTCAGCAGCGCCGCGTTCTCCTGCTTCAGGGCCCGGTAGTCGCTGAGGATCCTCTCCAAGTTGCTCAGAGTCTTCTTGCTGGTTTCGCTCTCGATCTGGAAAGGAGGGAGAGGGCAAGGTTAGAAGGCGATACAGGGTTCCCTCTAAACTGAGTCAGTGCGAGCTAGCTCACAGTTTCTTAGCCCCCGGCTCACACATTTTTGCCTTAGCTCAGGAAGGAGGGCTCCCGAGCAGTGTTCCCTCTAAGCTGAGTTCGTGTGAGCTAGCTCACAGTTTTTTTAGCATCCGGCTCACACATTTTTGTCTTAGCTCAGGGAGGATGGCTCCAGAGCAAACTAATGTATGCAGTAGCCAAATCACTTGCTCACAACTTAAATGCCAGGAGCTCACAAAGTAGAATTTTTGCTCACAAGACTCCACAGCTTAGAGGGAACATTGCTCCCGAGCAGAGGTCATTTCGGGGGGGATCGCGGGGGATCGCAGTTCCCCCGGGTGAGGTGCGGGGGGCGGGGCACATGATGAAGCCCCGCCCCCCCTGCTTCCGGCTGCCCCGCTTCCGGCCCTCATTCAGCCAGGAGGAGGCAGGAGAAGAGGGAGGGTAAGTTGCTCCCTCCCTGCCTCTCCCCACCCCTGCCTGCCTGCCTGGGGCCAGGGAGGGCCTTCGCGGGGCTTCCTTGCACTCCCGCCGGCCTTGCAGGTCCACCGCCGGGCCCCTCATGGGACTCGGCAGTGCAGCTGCAAGGCCGGCGGCGGCGGCGGCCGGGATTGTTGGGGGCGGGGTGTGTGGCCTTATGACGCACTTCCGGTGATGTCAGGGGTTGTGGCCTTATGACACACTTCTGGTGATGTCAGGGGGTGTGGCATATGCTAATGAGTTATGCTAATGAGTTCCCCTCGCTCTTTTTCTACGAAATGACCCCTGCTCCCGAGCAAACTAAATGTACGCGGTAGCCAAATCACTCACTCACAACTTCAGTGCCGGAGGCTCACAAAGTGGAATTTTCGCTCACAAGGCTCCACGGCTTAGAGGGAGCATTGAAGGTGAACAGGGTGCTTTGGGTCACGCTCTGCGAGGAGGCAGACGGGCAGCGTTTTCACGGGCGCTCCAAGCAGGCCTGTGCGATTACGATCTGCCAAGCCAAACGCAGACCATCGGACCCTGAACGTTATCCCTGTAAAGGGCTTGACGGCCGTTCTTTTCACTGCCCACCCGGGCTTTGGAAAAAAGGGAGGCTGGTAAACACTTGGCAAGCTACAACAGGGCCAAAATCCAGTATATCCTGAACGTGTCTTAAGTATTGTAAACAGATCAGCCAATATCATAATGCCGCTATATAAATCAATGGTGCGACCTCATCTGGAATACTGTGTGCAGTTCTGGTCACCACACCTTAAAAAGGATATTATAGCTTTGGAAAAAGTGCAGAAAAGAGCAACTCGAATGATAAAGGGGTTGGAACACTTTCCCTATGAGGAAAGGTTAAGGCGCTTAGGGCTCTTTAGCTTGGAGAAACGACGACTGAGGGGTGACATGATTGAGGTTTATAAGATTATGCATGGGAAAGAGCAGGTAGAGAAAGAGGTACTTTTCTCCCTTTCTCACAATACAAGAACTCGTGGGCACTCCATGAAATTGCTGAGTGGTCAGGATAGAACGGATAGAAGGAAGTACTTCTTCACCCAAAGAGTGATTAACACATGGAATTCACTGCCACAGGAAGTGGTGGCGGCTACAAGCATGGACGGCTTCAAAAGGGAATTAGATAAGCATATGGAGCAGAGGTCCATCAGTGGCTATTAGCCACAAGGTATAGATAGGGGCTCTGGGGCAAGTGATGCTCTGTCATCTTGGTGCTTGGGGGGGGGGGTCAACAGTGGGAGGGCTTCTAATGTCCTGGCCCCACTGGTGGACCTCCTGAATGCACTGGTATTTCTGGCCACTGTGGGATACAGAGTGTTGGACTGGATGGGCCTTTGGCCTGATCCAACATTGGCATCTCTTATGTTCTTATGTTCTTAAGGCAGAATGTTTCGGAGGGTAGCCGTGTTGGCTGGCAGTCGAAGAGCTGGATTCCAATTCAGCAGCACTTTAGAGACCCGCAAGATTTTCGAGGTGTGAGCTTTTGAAAGTCAGAGGTCCCTTCATCAGATACCAAAGGGAGCCTTGACTCTTGAAGGCTCATGCCCCGAAAATCATGTCAATTGGAACTCAAATCTAACTGTTCTTAAGGCAGAGTGAATCAAATACCCATTACATCTATGTGATAACTGGTCTCCTAATTCAGGAGGGTCGGAGTACCCACACCACTAAACTCTCCGCCCCTTTTTTTGAAAGCCTTCAGGAGTTTTTTTGGGCAACTGAGGGATGACTGCAAAAAATAATAACAATAAACCATGTCCCCCCCCATTGCAGTTAGGGGTTAAACGGTTGAGTTCAGGCAGAGCTTTTTTTGTGGAAAAAGCCCAGCAGGAACTCATTAGCATAATAGGCCACACCCAACAGCAGAAACGTATTAGCATATTAAGCCACACCCCCGACAACACAGCTCATTGGCATATTAGGCCACACCCCCATGTTACCAGAAGTGTGGTCATCCAGCCACACCCACCTTTTGCTTCTTATTCTGTTTACCTTGTTTGTTGTCCAAACCCTGGGCTTTTTTGTAGCAGGAACTCCTTTGCATGTTAGGCCACACACCCCTAATGTAGCCAATCCTAATGAGTTTCTGCTGTTGGGGGTGGCCTGTTATGCTAATGAGTTCCTGCTGGGCGTGGCCAACTTGGGAGCCAGCCGGAACTCCGTTCCTGTGCGTTCCTGCCCAAAAATAGCCCTGAGTTCAGGTCTGAAAATGGACCGTGGCATTTGCTGAAAACTCTAAAGAGAAGAAGAAAGCCAACAGAAAGGGTCAGAGGCAATGTTCCCTCTAAGCTGTGGAGTCCTGTGAGCAAAAATCCTACTTTGTGAGCTGCTGGCATTCAAGTGGTGAGCGAGCTGTTTGGCTACTGCATAAATTCGTTTGCTCTGGAGCCCTCCTTCTCGAGCTGAGACAAAAATGTGTGAGCCGGAGGCTAAAAAACTGAGCTGGCTCACACTCACTCAGCTTGGAGGGAACACTGGCCAGAGGTTTCAGACGAGAGCGAGAGATCTCACAGGGGGTCTGGAGCAGAGACCCGGAAGGGTTTTCTCTATGGCCGCCTGGCTCTACTTCCCCACAGACCCCAAATCCATCCCAGGCCACCAGTTTCCAGCCTGTCAGGACTCTGTTGGTCGACGTCATTCTGTGCTTCTGCAATGTTCCACAGCGAGGGACGCGTCCTGGCCAAGTATTCGTTTCTTTACACAAGGACAATGCTATCGCCACTCGCTCTCCGGAACGGAGTGTGCCTGCTACAGCAGATGGTATTAAAAACAAAACAACTCGACGGATGTCATTTGTGCTAATTCTGAATAATTAGTTTGGGAGGAACCACAGCTCAGTGGAGCAGAGAACAGGCTTTGCGTGATGCAGAAAGTCCCCGGTTCGATTCCCGGCATCTCCAGTAGCAACAGGGTTGTTGGAGTCTGATGCTACTGGGCTACCAATAGCCTGTGTGAGAACAAATTTAGAGTCCAGTCAGGCACCTTTAAGACCCACAAAGTTTAATTCTAGGTATACGCGTTCATGTGCAGGCACACTTCTTCGCCAAACAAATTTAGAGTCCAGGGGCACCTTTAAGACCAACGAAGTTTAATTCTGGGTATGCGCTTTCATGTGCACGCACACTTTCCTAAATACATTAGAAGGAAGGCGAGGTTCAAACTTATAGACGGGGCTGAACAGCAGATTAACACGTGACATAATTTAGACAAAAGACAAAACTCAATACAAGATGGCGGCCAATGCAGACGCCAGATGCTGAGCTCCGCGTTTTAATTATGGTGTTTAAGCTGCAAAATAGTCCCTCCGGACAAATCTACATAACAAGCTAAGGTTATAAGGTCAACAGTTGTAAAGCAATAAATATGTCAGAATGGCAGATAAATGTGTAAAGGTATCTAAGTCTGAACCTTACCTTCCTTCCAATGTGTTTGAAAAAGTGTGTTTGCACACCACAAAAGCTCTTACCTTGAATAAGACTTTGTTGGTCTTAAAGGTGCCACCGGACTCAAACTATGTTCCGTTGCTTCTGACCAACACAGCTACGAACCTGGATCTATCTAAGGAAGCTTGCACGCACACAAATAAAACTTTGTTGGTCTTAAAGGTGCCACCGGACTCTAAATTTGTTCTACTGTTTCAGACCAATACGTCTGACCACCTGGATCTAACTTCTTCACTGAGCCATCCTTTTGGAAGGATTTGGGTTTCCCATGTCAGACTTTTTTGGGAAGAGAATGTATGATTGGCTAGAAACTGTACTGGTTCTTGGCCAAGATCTGGTTCAACACTGAACCAGAAAACAGCAATGTCTCTCCCCCTTTCCAGTGGGGGACACCTGCCCCCCACACCTTGGATTCTGGCTCTGTTATGAGGAACACCAGAAAAGGGAGCGGGGGAAGAGGTCCTTGCAACAAGGAAAAAAAGAAAAGAAATCGAAGTCAGGATTTCCACCAAGCAACATGCAAGGGAATACAAAGAATACAAATACAAATGTAACATATGTACAAATACAAATGTAACGCATGTTATTTTTTTTTCTTACTGTGATACAGCATTCATACCTTTTGCATAGTTTTTACTGGATTGTTTCTGCTGTATGTAATACATATTTGTTTACTTTTTGAAATGTAGTGACCAAGTGTGTTTTTTGGTACTATTATGAAAGTGTGACACAAGTACGATCCCGTATTAGACATCATTCTGTGATTATTTATATGCTTATTTATATTCTCCTGCCCACTGCTTCTGGGAGAGCCTGGCATTGTTGTTCTTTTCCCTCTCCTATGAAGAAGCCGAGGTGGGCCGAAGACAAATGGTGGGCAGACGGCATAAAGGAATACCTACCAGCAGGGTCCTAGGCATCAAACCGGTTCGTACAATAGGATACTGTCCTGGGAGCACGAAGACTGAGCTCAAAGTCTAAATCACGGGTCCCCAACCTTTTTGAGCCTGTGGGCACCTTTGGAATCCCAGCAAAGTGTGGTGGGCGGAGGCACAGCCACAAAAACGGCTGCCTCGGGAGGCAGGGAACGCCTCAAAATGGCTGCCACCGCTTCCCCTCAGTCACAGGGTGAAGATCCTTGTGCTGTGGTGGCAGCTGCCGCCAAAGCAACGCTTCTAAAAATATGCTCAGCCAATCAAATCTCCAGTGGCCAATCAGAGGACCCGCTGGGCAAAAGCCCCACCCACTTTCTAAAAACACTTGGCGGGCACCACCTTGGGGACCCCTGGTTTGAACTGACCCTGGCTGTGTACAGCCTGAACTTAAAGTGCAGCACCAGAGAGGCAAATTTGCAAGGTTTTTCTGCCAGGGAGAGAGCTCTGGGCGGGTAAGCCGTGTTGTTCTGCAGGAAAAGAGCACCTTAGAGACCAACTAGACTTCCGGGGTATGAGCTTTTGAGAGTTCTGGGAGGTCCGACTCTCGAAAGCTAGAAATCTTGCTGATCTTTGAGGCGGTACTGGACTGTTTCCCTGGAGGGCCAGCAACAGGGCTCACACAGCATTCCTGTCTCACATAGGGGCCAACCAGTTCTTCTGGGGGGCCAACAGGAATGCAGAGAGGTCGAGGCCTTCCCCTGATAACTTCAGAAGAGCAGACCAGGGAGGGTCCCTCTAGTCCAGCCTCCCGTCTCAACCAGGGGCCAGCCAGTCCCTCTGGAGGGCCAGCAACAGGGCAGAGAGGCCGAGGCCTTCCCCTGATAAGGACACCAGAAGAGCCCTGCTGGGTCAGACCAGGGAGGGTCCCTCTAGTCCAGCCTCCCGTCCCACACAGGGGCCAGCCAGTCCCTCTGGAGGGCCAGCAACAGGGCAGAGAGGCCGAGGCCTTCATAAGAACCTAAGAAGAGACCAGGGGTCCACCTAGTCCAGCCTCCTGTCTTACCCAGTGGCCAACCATTTCCTCTGGAGGGCCAACAACAGGTCACAGAAGCTGAGGCCTTCATTAGAACATAAGAAGAGCCCTGCTGCCTCAGACCAGTGGTCCATCTAGTCCCGTCTCCCATCTCACACAGGGGCCAACCAGTTCCTCTGAAGGGCCAGCAACAGGGCAGAGAGGCCGAGGCCTTCCCCTGATCAGAACATCAGAAGAGCCCTGCTGGGTCAGACCAGGGAGGGTCCCTCTAGTCCAGCATCCCGTGTCACACAGGGGCCAGCCAGTTCCTCTGGAGGGCCGAGAACAGGGCAGAGAGACCGAGGCCTTCCCCTGATAAAAACATAAGAAGAGCCCTGCTGGATCAGACTGGTGGTCCATCTAGTCCAGCATCCCGTCTCACACAGAAGCCAACCAGCTCCTCTGGAGGGCCAGCAACAGGGAACAGAGGCCGAGGCCTTCCCCTGATCAGAACATCAGAAGAGCCCTGCTGGGTCAGACCAGTGGTCCACCTAGTCCAGCATCCCGTCTCATCCTGTTCCTCTGGAGGAACCAACAACAGAACATAGAGGCCGAGGCCTTCATGAGAATCTAAGAAGAGCCGGGCTGGTTCAGACCAGGGGTCCATCCAGTCCAGCATCCTGCCTCACACAGAAACCCCACCGCACACACCTTTCCTACCTGCTTTCTACTTCTGCATGCTGCCTCAAGGAGTGGAGACTTTAACAAACAAAACCAAAATTCAGCACAGTCTCACCTGCTCCTCAAGATCCCGGATCTCGCGCAAGATGGTGCCTGTGTCTTCGATTGTTTGGATCAGCTGACTACAGCTCTAGGGGAAAAGGAGACAGTGCCAGTCAGGAAGGGCCCAGGGCATTTGGGATGGACACACACACACACAGCTCAGCAATATATCACCGCCTCCCGAGCAGAGTTGCCAACTTCCAGGTGAGGCCTGGATATCTCCCAGAATTACAACTGATCTCCAGGGTATAGAGGTCAGTTCCTCCAGAGAAAAAGGCAGGTTTGGAGGGTGGATTCTATGGGATCATGCCCTACTGAGGTCCCTCCCCTCCTCAAACCCCGCCCTCCTCAGGGTCCCCCCCACTAATACCCAGGAATTTCCCAATTCGGAGTTGGCAACCTACTTTTTTCTTTTTTTGGCCCCCCATAGGGGATTTTTTAATTTGCATTTTCTAAAAACAACAACGAAATTAGGGAGGGGATCTACAACTATAGGAGAAAGAAAAGAAAACCCACTAAAAACCCAAGAGTTGGAGGTCATACATTGCTTATAAAAGTATATGCTTAACAATATAGAAATTGCTTTTCTTGACGTTGAGAGTGGTCAGTCGTCATCATTGGTTACATTAACAAACCATCAAATCTGACTATATAAAGAGCATTCCAGGATATCGCTAGTTCACTTAAAACACAACTTTCAGAGAACAGCGGCATCTCGTTTTACAATTATTTTTTCCCTCCTTCGTTTAAAGCAAATTAATAGTTATATTTCCCTCAGTAGGTGTAACACAGTCAATTTCTCTTCCCACGCTGTTATCTTCATTCGTCTTAAACATTTTCCCTGTGGCATTGTCTTGCTGGAGCTGGAACTGGTCATCACAGAACAAAGTCCCTTTTTCTTTTTCAAGGACTGTAATCCGCTTGAATTCTTGCCTTCAATCGTGGAGATCATTCCACTTGTTGCTTTTAAAAGCCAATCTTGTGGAGAGTCTATCCGCCCTTTTGCCCGTCATACTTATTTCGGATGTGTCCATGGCTTACGGCTTTGCTTAGTCGTCTGCATACAGGCCCCACCACTTAAACCGACTCATTAGACTCTCCTCCTTAAAATTGGAAGTCCCTGTGATGAAAGGCTAGTGGCTTCATCCATGTTAACACAGTCCCTTGAAAATAGCAGCCAATATAATCAAGTGGTTAAGACGCTGAACTGCAGGCTGTGGAAGGTCAGTAGTTCAGCAGTTTGAGACCCGAGTGTGTCGCATGATGGAGTGAGCTCCCATCTCTAGTTCCAGCTCCTGCCAACCTAGCAGTTCGAAAGCAAGAAATTGCAAGTCGATAAATAGGTACCACTTCGGTGGGAAGGTAACAGTGTTCCGTGCGCCTTGGTGTTTAGTCATGCCGGCCACATGACCACGGAAACGTCTTCGGACAGCGCTGGCACTTCGGCTTTGAAACGGAGATGAGCACCGCAAGCCTAGAGTCGGATTCGACTGGCGTTTCGAGGAAGGGAAACCTTTACTTTATATAGCACAGTTCTTGTGAAGTACCTCATTTTTGCCAGCAGGGGGCAAAGGCTTAGCATGCAGCCTGAAAGCGGCTATGGTTGCTTCTGGTCACATGGGCCAGTTGCTCTTCGACTTCCGGAAGAAAGCTTGGATCTCGCTTGCTGCCTTCTAAACGCCGATCGCCATTTTTAAGCATGTTTGCTTTTTCCAAAATTTGTCAAAGTCCCGGAAATTTGCCCAAACGCTTAGACAACCTACTTTTGAAGCCTCTCACCTCATGTAAGGCTGCCAAGTACTTGTATGCTTTCCTCACAGCCTCATCTCGCTTGGCGTCCTGCGGAAAAAAACACAGAAGGAAGAGGTGGGAAAGGCAGCCGCCACCAGCACGGCTCTCCTCCCACCCCTGCTGCCTCTTCCGGACCCCCAGAGTCCCACCTTAAACACCAGCTCATCAGTGACAGCAAAAGTCCGGTCGAGCTTCCCAGTCAGGCTGTTGATCTCCTTCTGGAGTTCCTTAGTGTCAGACAGGATCTCAGGAGGGCAGAGAAAAGAGGGCGGACTTAAAAACTATGCAAGAGAACATCAGAAGAGCCCTGCTGGGTCAGACCAGTGAGGGTCCCTCTAGTCCAGCCTCCCGACTCACACAGGGGCCAGCCAGTTCCTCTGGAGGGCCAGCAACAGGGCAGAGAGGCTGAGGCCTTCCCCTGAGAAGGACACCAGAAGAGCCCTGCTGGGTCAGACCACGGAGGGTCCCTCTAGTCCAGCCTCCCGTCTCACACAGGGGCCAGCCAGTTCCTCTGGAGGGCCAGCAACAGGGCAGGGAGGCCGAGGCCTTCCCCTGAGAAGGACACCAGAAGAGCCCTGCTGGGTCAGACCAGGGAGGGTCCCTCTAGTCCAGCCTCCCGTCTCACACAGGGGCCAGCCAGTCCCTCTGGAGGGCCAGCAACAGGGCAGGGAGGCTGAGGCCTTCCCCTGAGAAGGACACCAGAAGAGCCCTGCTGGGTCAGACCAGGGAGGGTCCCTCTAGTCCAGCATCCCGTCTCACACAGGGGCCAACCAGTTCCTCTGGAGGGCCAGCTAAAGATGTGAAGGCCCGGAAAAAACCCGTAAAAATTAGGGGGAAAACCCTTTTTTCCCCGTTTTTTTCCTGAAGCCTTTTTTGTTTCTTTCCGAAAAATTGGAAAAATTGAAAAAAGAAAAGAAAAAAATTGATTATGGAACATTTTATTTTAGCATGATGAATAAAATATTAAGACAAGGTGTTCAAATATTTTCCAAATCATTTCTAAAAAATACCTATGGTATCAGATTGATCTAATTTCTGTGCACTGAGGACAAGCAAGTCCTAGGTTACCAACTGAACTCTCCAATGCAAGAACAGGATGCATTTCTTCCTTTAGGAGGTGCGATTGTCAGAAAATAAAAAAGTTTCAGTTTTGTTTTTGCATGTGGGTGGGTATTCGTAAATGTACATTTTTTTAAATTTTTCCAAAAAGGCCCATCCCCCCCCCCCCAAAAAAAAAACAGGAAAAAACCCGAGTTTTTTTCAGAGCGTCAAAATTTCCGGAAATTTTACATCTCTAGGGCCAGCCACAGGGCATTGAGGCCTTCCCCTGAGGTTGCCTCCTGGCTCTGGGATTCTGAGGTTTCGAGTCATGCATTTGAGTCACGCTGATGCAAAAAGCCTTCATAAGCTCCGTGACACAGTGAAAAGGTTCTGAAACACAGCCACTTAAAAAAAAAAAGACACACACACAAACAACACAACCCCCCAAGCTAACAGCCTGCCCCACCTTCCAGGTCTGGGGCCACAAGTCGACAGTGGCCACTACCTCTCCCCTCCCCCCGCCTGAGACCCTGGAGAGCCATTGCTGGTCGGAGTAGACAGTACTGACTTTGATGGACCAAGAAGGTCTGATTCCGTATAAGGCGGCTTCCTGTGTGCTCCTTTGCAACTGGACCATCCAGTATGGCTGGGACAATCTAGGAGGCGAATGAGGGCTGGATACTGAGCCAATGTTGTGCTGTAAGAACGTGTGGGCGCAGCCAGGTTTCATGGGACGGGGAGGAAAGCGTTCCAGCACGTGACTCCCCCCACCCGCACTCTGAATCATATAATCACGGAATCATAGAGTTTTAAGGGACCTCCAGGGTCAGCCAGTCCAACCCCTTGCACAAGGCAGGGAATTCACAAATACCTCCCCCCTCAGACCCCCACTCTATGTCCAGAAGATGACAAAAAACCTCCAGGATCCCCAGCTAAACTGGCCTGGGGAAAAAATGGCTGCCTGGCCCCCAAAGTGGAGATCAGCATTTCCCTGGGCGTGTCAGGAAGGGCCAACAGAACTAAGCCCTGAGGCAACCCTCCCTCCTCGTGATCTGCCTCAGTTCGCACAATCCATATTGCTGGCCATCTAGCCTCTGCTTGATAAACCTCCTCCCAAGAAGGAGAGCCCGCCACCCCCCGGGGAAGCCTGTCCCACTGAGGAACCCTTCTCTAACTGTCAGGACGTTCTTCCTGAGGTTTACCCGGAAACTCTTCTGATTGAATTTCAACCCGTCGGTTCTGGTCCGACACTTCTGGGGCAACAGAAAACAACTCTGCGCCATCCTCTATAGGACAGCCCTTCGAGTCCTTGGAGATGGTTGGTTGTCATACCACCTTTCAGTTGTCTCAGTTGAGAGCCAGTTTGGTGTAGTGGTGAAGTCCGCGAACTCTAATCTGGGAGAACCGGGTTTGATCCCCCACTCCTCCACTTGCAGCTGCTGGATGACCTTGGGCAAGCCGTAGTCCTCAGTAAACAATGACCAAGCAAACCCAAAAAATAACAACTGTGCACTGTAAAAACCCGCACAAGAGCTTACAAAAAGAGACTTCAACACAATAAGTAATTCAACACATCCATCATAGGAAAATACAAAAGTCCACAATTTCCCCAAGGGGAAGAACAAAGTCCAGAATAGGAATCTCTCAGAGGGAAAGAATAAAGTCTGGAATCGATGTCCAACACTTTTCCTAGGTATTGATCAGTTTCTTAACAGGTAAACATTATTCAGTTTCTCTTTTACAGAGAAACTGAATAATGTTCTGGGTCTTTTAGAGAGAAACTGAATGATGTTTACCTGTTAAGAAACTGCAATGAGACTTCCTGTAGTGGGTAAGACTGCATGAGACTTTATAAAATAAGTGAGAAATAAGTGTTTAATGTTTATAAAATAAGTGTTTAATGTTGATAAAAATTGTTATAAAATAAGAGTTTAATGTGGATAAAAATGGTTGTAATAAAATGTTTGTACTTTGTAAAATATTATGTGGTTAAAATGACTAAAAATGCTTCTATTTTATAAGCATGATTGTATTTTATATTCATATAGCTTTTAGTTCCTGAGGAAGGACCTGAAGTCCGAAACACTGATCAATACCTAGGAAAAGTGTTGGACATCGATTCCAGACTTTATTGTTTCCCTCTGAGAGATTTCTATTCTGGACTTTGTTCTTCCCCCTTGGGGAAATTGTGGACTTTTGTATTTTCCTATGATGGATTACATGTGTCGAATTACTTATTGTGTCGAAGTCTCTTTTTGTAAGCTCTTGTGCGGTTTTTACAGCGCACAGTTGTCATTTTTTGGTTTTGCTTGGTCAAGCCATAGTCCTGTCAGGGCTGTTCTTGGAAAAGAGCAGTTTCTCTCAGAGCTCCCTCAGCCCCACCTGCCTCACAGGGTGTCTGTGGTGGGGAGGGGAAGGGGAAGGAGATTGTAAGCCGCTCCGAGACTCCTTTGGGTAGTGAAGGGCGGGGTATAAATCCAATCTCTTCTTCTTCCTCTCCAGGCTAAACACAGCATAAGTGGTTCTGCCTGGCGACAGACACATTCCGTGGGACTGCTCGAGTCCAGAAGACCTTTGGCATCAATGCTGGCCTTGGTAGGGAGCCCCCCCCCCCAGGTGGGGTTCTCTCTTACCTTGGTGATCTCCTCTTTCTGCTTACGGATGTTGCTGACTATCTCCAGAATGCGCTGGGTGTAGGCAGAGCGAGAGACGTCTTTGGGAAGGGATTCCAGCTCCAGCAGCTGCAGGCGAGGAGGGCGAACGAGAACGAGAACGGAGAGGACAGATAACCAAAGTCCCCACGACTCTAAGCACCCCCCCCCAGAGTATTCTCCATGCTGCAGACGGTTGTGCTGAAGGACCCAGAGGCCTGCTTCTCATCAAGGCAGGACAACCTGAGCGATACCACTGTTGACTACAGGGGGAGCTGAAAATGGCTGAACGTTCCTCTATTTTCCTGCACACAGAAAACCGGGAAGAAGGATCTATATGTAAGAATATCAGAGAAGCCATGTTGGATCAGGCAAAATGGCCCCTCCGGTCCAATACTCTGTGTCACACAATGGCCTAAAGCACCAGGTGCCATCAGGAGGTCCACCAGCAGGGCCAGAACTCCAGGAGCCCTCTTACTGTTGCCCCCCAAGAATAAAAACACAGAGCATCACTGCCCCAGTCATGAGAATGTAAGAGAAGCCATGCTGGATCAGGCCAGTGACCCATTCCATCCAACACTCTGTGTCACACAGTGGCCAAAACCCAGGGGCCCTCAGGAGGTCCACCAGCGGGGCCAGAACTCCAGAAGCCCTCCCACTGTTGCCCCCCAAGCACCAAGAAGACAGAGCATCACTGCCCCAGACAGAGTGTTCCCCACTGCTGGACCTCCTGAGGGCACCTGGTATTTTGGGCCACTGTGTGACAGAGTGTTGGACTGGATGGGCCATTGGCCTGCCTGATCCAACATTGGCTTCTCCTATGTTCTTATGTCTGGGGCAAGTGATGCTCTGTATTCTTGGTGCTTGGGGGGGGGCAACAGTGGGAGGGCTTCTGGAGTCCTGGCCCCACTGCTGGACCTCCTGAGGGCACCTGGTATTTTTGGCCACTGTGTGACAGAGTGTTGGACTGGATGGGCCATTGGCCTGATCCAACATTGGCTTCTCTTAGGTTCTTATGTTCTTATCTAGTCCTTGGGGCTAATAGCCACTGGTGGACCTCAGCTCCATACGCATATCCAATCCCCTCTTGAAGCTGTCTATGCTTGGAGCCGCCACCACTTCCTTTGGCAGCGAATTCCACGCATTAATTACTCTAATAATTACTCTAATAGCAATGTGTGGCCCCTATCTGCAGACACCTAAATAAGTGGATGGGGCCACGTTGATGTTAAACAGATTTTCCCGTAAGCTTGGGGGACTTCCCAAGTTCGCAGAAAAATCTGAAATCACAAATAAAACATAAAGAGGGGCGTTTTTTGTATAAATCCGGCCCAAAACACAGCCATGTTGTCTTTGTTCTTATGCTAGGTTAAAAAGGTAAAGGTTTCCCTTGCTCGAAAGCCAGCCGAATCCGACTCTAGGGTTGCGGTGCTCATCTCCGTTTCCAAGCCGAAGAGCCAGCGCTGTCCGAAGACGTTTCTGTGGTCATGTGGCCGGCATGACTAAACACCAAGTCGCACGGAACGCCGTTACCTTCCCACCAAAGTGGTACCTATTTATCTACTTGCAATTTCTTGCTTTCGAACTGCTAGGTTGGCAGGAGCTGGAACTAGAGACGGGAGCTCACTCCGTAATGCGGCACACCCGGGTCTTGAACTGCTGAACTATTGACCTTCCACAGCCTGCAGTTCAGCGTCTTAACCACTTGAGCCACCGCAGCTCCCTTATGCTAACAAAGACTGGGGAACTAGTAAAAAGGGAAGGAGAACCTGGCCTCTTGGAACAGAGATCTAAAGAAGTCGCGGAGGCGAGAAAAGGGCTTTTGGTACTCCCTCTGTCCACACCTTCCTCTCCAGTCTCTGAGCCTTTACATCAGGGATCAAGCCTTTGAGGATTTAAAAACTCTATGCGCTCTAGCAATTTGTTCACCCTTTAAGGAAGGAAAGACATCAGTCCCGCACATCTGGGGCACATGCCGGAAAATCAGATCTCCCCATTCTCGGCAGAACCAAAGCCAGGCAAGGGAACGAGTCCCCTCCGTAACTTTTTACCGCGTGCGCAAATGAGCTCCCAACCCCGAGCCACTGACCAACTGCTTGTAAAGATCGTCTTTGCGCTTGGCCTCGTCAGCGGCCGACCGGATCCGCTCATGCAGTTCCCTGATCTCCGAGAGGCGTCGGGATGACTCCAGCTGTGAGGAGAAACGAAGGGGGGCATCACCGCTGCGGGGGCCGCCACCCTGAGAAGGATCCCTCCCCTCGCTTTCGTTTCCCGCGGCCTCACCTCCTTGGAGTCATGCAGGGCCTTGAGCTCCCGGAATTCCTGGATGAGCGGCACTCGGTGCTTCTCCCACTGGGCGGCCAGCTGGATGATCCGCTGCGCGCTGCTCTCCACCACCACCTGGGGAAGGCAAAGGATATCTGGATTCTGGGCTGCGCAACACCACTCTGAACTCCGGGGACAGAATCATAGAATCATAGAGTGGGAAGGGGGCCTACAGACCATCTAGTCCAACTTCCTGCCCAATGCAGGATCAGCCGGAAGCATCTCTGACAAATATTTGTCCAGCCTCCTCTTCTTGAAAGCTGCCCGTGAAGGGGAGCTCACCACCTCCCTGGGCAGCTGATTCCACCCTTGAAGCACCCTAACCGTGAAGAAGTTTTTCCTGATATCCAGCCGATACCCTTCTGCGTGTAACTTAAACCCGTTGCTTCGGGTCCTCTCCTCTGCTGCCAACCGGAACGGCTCCTTGCCCTCCTCCAAAGGACAGCCTTTCAGATATTTAAAGCGAGCGATCATGTCCCCCCTCAATCTCCTCTTCTTCAAACGAAACATTCCCAAGGCCCTCAGCCTTTCCTTGTAGGGCTCGGTCTCCAGACGGATACATTCAGTTCTCCACCATTGATGGAGACGGCAGAGGAAAGCGTGGAAGGAAAATCATGCGCATCTACAGGTGTGCCAAACCTTCTTTTCATTATCTCCGGAGGACGACAGGGCCAGGATATGGTTGGAAGGAACAATGCGGCCAGCTCGCAGAAGCTAAGCAGATTTGGGGAGACGCCTGGAAACCTTAGTTACAGATTCGTGACGGGAAATCTCTGCCAAGCTGAAAGTTCGAGTCCAGTGGGACTTTTATTCAAGGTATAAGCTTTCGTGTGCACGCACACTTCTTCAGATCTGAAGAAGTGTGCACACACACGAAGGCTTATACCTTGAATAAAACTTTGTTGGTCTCAGGGGTCATTTATTGCAGGAGTGCACAGGAGCGGAGCTCCGGCAGTAAAGAGCCCAGGGGGCGGGGACATGCAACAAGCCCCACCCCCTGCTCCCAGCAGCCCTCAGTCAGAGCAAGAAGCAGCCAGGTAAGCTGCAGAGCCCCCCCGGCCCAAAACAGTCCAGTGGCATCTTTAAGACCAACTTTTATTCAGGTACAAGCTCTCCCTCCTCTGTGAGGACAGATCTGCACGTCCCCCCCCCTGCAATAGCTAGCAATCCAAAACAGTCCAGTGGAGCCTGAGCGGTGGGTGTTGCCTTCTGACACACTTCCGGTGATGTCAGGGTGTGTGGCATATGCAAATAAGTTATGCTAATAAGTTATGCTAATGAGCTCCTGCACCTCTTTTTCTACGAAATGACCCCTGGTTGGTCTTAAAGGTGCCCAGTCTGGACTCAAACTTTGTTCTGCTGCTTCAGACCAATACGGCTGCCCACCAAAACTGGTATCAGAAATTATTTCCTCCCAAACAAATCAAATAACTGGACAGGTCCAAAGTGTATGTTTTAACACAGGGGTGTCGAACTCATTTGTTATGCGGGCCGGCTCTGACATAAATGAGACCTTGTTGGGCCGGGCCGTGTGTGTCATAAAATGTAATGCCAGGTAGCGGAGATAGAAACTTTATAAAGGGCACAAACACAAAGGGGTTGGTTTTTTTACTTAAAAACATGCTTAAAACATGAGCACTCTTGCAATATTTTGTTTATTTAATAGTGTCTGATAGCTGACACCTCTCTTGCTCTGAATTATTGCATCAAAATGTCTGTGCTGTTGCTATCTTGAGTCTGCTGTTCAAGTGTGTATCTGTAAGCTGCAAACCTATGATGACGCAGCAGCAGCAGAACTGGAAGAAGCAGCAGGAGACAGCCAGTTCCACTGCGGGCCTGATAGAAGCCCTCCGGGGGCCTCATCCGGCCCCCGGCCCCCATGTTTGGCACCCGTTTTGAGAGATGTGACTTGTAAGTTACGACACCAACAATTAGACACTTCATTTAGTCCTTTATTAAAAAGATATTGTGGTGTCTAGTATATCCTACACATAATTCTTTGCTGAGCAAGTTGTAGCTTATAGATGCCTAACTGTAGACTTGCCGCTATTGTTGTTTGGGGGGGGGGGGGGTTGACTTTTTAAAAAAATAAAAAAGGAATTGATAAAGGCTCCTCTCAAATGTGACTTGGGGGCATCAATTCCTGGGTTTCCCCACGTTCTCATTTCCCTTACTTGCGTGTTCTGTTGCTTTGGGTGTCCCCCCCCCCCCCGTTCTGCCTCTGTTTTCTTCCCCCTCGTGGTTAATTCGATATTCTATCGCTTTGTGTCTGCCCTATCTCCCTGCAGATTTAAATACAGGTTTTTATGCTGGAGATAAAGTGATGCAGGGCTATTTTTAAGCAGGAACGGAGTTCCGGCTGGCTCCCGAGTTGGCCATGCCCAGCAGGAACTCATCAGCATAATAGGCCACACCCAACAGCAGAAACTCATTCGGATTGGCTACATTAGGGGTGTGTGGCCTAACATGCAAAGGAGTCCCTGCTACAAAAAAGTCCCTGGGTTTTGACAACAAACAAGGTAAACAGAATAAGAAGCAAAAGGTGGGTGTGGCTGGATAACCACACTTCTGGTAACATGGGGGTGCGGCCTAATGTGCTAATGAGCTGTGCTGCCGGGGGTGTGGCCCAATATGCTAATGAGTTCCTGCTGTTGGGTGTGGCCTATTATGCTAATGAGTTCCTGCTGGGCTTTTTCTACAAAAAGAGCCCTGAGATGTAATATCGAACTGACCATTCGAGGGGGCAAAACACATGTGGAACAGAAAGGCCCCCCCCCCCAGCAACAGGAACACACAAACAAGGAAAAAGCGAAGGCGGAAAAGCCCATTGCCAGGGCCTTCTACATAGGCCCCTCTCTGGACATATTCACCGCCTTGCCCATCTGCTCCCGTCTCTCCCATGCGCAAAAGCCACGTGCAGTTTTCGAAGCGGTCCACACCAGTGTTCCCTCTAAGCTGAATTAGTATGAGCCAGCTCACAGTTTTCTAGCCTCCGACTCACACATTTTTTGACCTAGTTCAGGAAGGAGGGCTCCAGAGCGAATTGATGCCGTAGCCCAATCGCTCGCTCACAGCTTTAATGTCAGTAGCTCACAGAGTAGAATTCTTGCTCACAAGACTCCACAGCTTAGAGGGAGCCCTGGTCCACACCCCGGTCACCACATATGAACCCCCCCCCTCACTCCCCAGCCTCTTCCTACCTAGATTCTCCACAGTCTCCCCCTTCCAAACCCAGCTCCCGAGCTGTTCCATGCCACCCCTGCCACATACCTGCAGCTTGGCCATGTTGTTTTCCGCGTCAGGCAACAGCTCCACGGTCCGGCCCTTCACGCGCAAGGTCTGCTCCAGTTCGGTCGCACCCAGCTGCCGCTGCCGCACCTCTCCCTCCACCTGAGAAGAGCCAGAGAATCCCCTTAGGGCACCCCCCAAAGGCACCCTGGTTCACTAACAGGACACAATCTGTCAGGAAACCCGAGGGTTGCTGGCTCAGATTTGGGAAATACCTGGAGGTTTTGGGAGTGGAGCCAGGAGAGGGGAGGGGAGGGACCTCAGTGGAGTAGAATACCACAGAGGGCATCCAATGAAGCTGATGGGCAGTAGGTTGAGGTCGGACAAAAGGAAAGACTACTTTACACAGAGAGGGATTAAAACGTGGAATGTCCTGCTGGAGGATGTAGTGATGGCCACAGGAATAAACAGCTTCAAAAGGGGATTAGATTGATTCATGGGGGAGAAGTCTGCCAATGACTACTAGCCGTGGTGGCTGAGGGAAACCTCCACATTCAGAGGCACTAATCCTCTGAATCCCAGAGCCAGGAGGCGACGTCAGGGGAAGGCCTCGGCCTCTCTGCCCTGTTGTTGGCTGTCCAGAAGAACTGGCTGGGCCCTGTGTGAGATGGGATGCTGGACTGGAGGGACCCTCCCTGGTCTGACCCAGCAGGGCTCTTCTGGTGTTCTGATCAGGGGAAGGCCTCGGCCTCTCTGCCCTGTTGTTGGCTGTCCAGAAGAACTGGCTGGGCCCTGTGTGAGATGGGATGCTGGACTGGAGGGACCCTCCCTGGTCTGACCCAGCAGGGCTCTTCTGGTGTTCTGATCAGGGGAAGGCCTCGGCCTCTCTGCCCTGTTGTTGGCTGTCCAGAAGAACTGGCTGGGCCCTGTGTGAGATGGGATGCTGGACTGGAGGGACCCTCCCTGGTCTGACCCAGCAGGGCTCTTCTGGTGTTCTGATCAGGGGAAGGCCTCGGCCTCTCTGCCCTGTTGTTGGCTGTCCAGAAGAACTGGCTGGCCCCTGTGTGAGGCAGGATGCTAGAATGGATGAACCCTCACTGGTCTGATCCAGTAGGGCTGATGTTCTTTTTAGGGGAGGGCCTCGGCCTCTATGCCCTGTTGTTGGCTGTCCAGAAGAACTGGCTGGCCCCTGTGTGAAATGGGATGCTGGACTGGATGGACCCTCACTTGTCTGATCCTGCAGGGCTCTTCTGATGTCCTTATCGGGGGAAGGCCTCAGCCTGTCTGCCCTGTTGTTGGCCCTCCAGAGGAATGGGTTGGCCACTGTGTGAGACAGGACTAGATGGACCGCTGGTCTGATCCAGCAGGGCTGTTCTGATGTTTGTATGATAGAGTTAAAGGCTCTTTCTCCCACTTTCTGATTTAGCAATCCAGGTAGCAAGACAAAAAAAAAGAAAAACAACCCAAACATCTCAGGCACCTAATATATAGCTGAGACTGAAAAATGTGTAGCTGAGAGCCAGCTGCGTGCACTGGTTAACAGTGCCATAGAATCACAGAGTTGGAAGGGACCTCCAGGGTCATCTAGTCCAACCCCCTGTACAAGGCAGGAAATCCTGTATCTGCAGCTAATATCTGGGAGACCTGGGTTTAAATCCCTGCTCGTGCCATGGAAGCTCGCTTGGTGCCCTCCGGCCAGTCACACTCTCTCAGCCTAACCAACCTCACCTGGGTTGTCAGGAGGACAAAATGGAGGCGAAGAGACGGCTATCCGCAGCTCCCCACTGGGAAAAATGTGGGGTAGGAATGAATTGAATAAATAATGCTTCCTCCCTT